AAAAAAAAATGATTTTGCTAAAACTTCCTGTTCACTGTCTACCTCTTTATAATAATTTCTTGATTGAGTCATTGACACTTTTTTCATCCAGTATCATTCACTGTGCTATCAAGGACTTTGACGCATCATTTCTTAAAAAGACTACATAAAAGAATTAGGGTCATCATTGCTGGGATTATGAATCACCTTTGCACTTACAGCTATTTTTACATCTGAAATTTCCATCCACACTGCTGACCATTGTCTGCTGGTTTTGGTACTGGTGCTTTTGATACTTATTGCATGTGTGTAGGCAAGCAGTAATAATATGTGTGATTATAAGATATATTTCAATGTCAAGAATGTTAAAATGTGAAGAAAGGTGCATCTTAGAACTGATGAGATATATATCCAATAGGAAAAGAAGAAACCCTAGGGGCTGGGATTGTAGCTCAGTGGTAGAGTGCTTCCCTGGCATGTGTGAGGCACTGCATATAAATAAATAAAGTAAAGGTGCATCAACAACTAAAAGAAATATTAAAAAAAAAAAAAAAAGAAACCCTAAGTTAGAGTTGATAGGGAAAACGTCAAGAGGAGGTAAAGATTAAGGCTGGGTCTTGGGAAAGGAAGGATCATGAGGAGAAAAGGCATTCCAGGCTGTGAGAAAAACTTATAAAACACAAAATACTCCTGGATAGATCCTCCATTGACACTATCAGAAGTTTAGATTATTTATTATTTGGATTTTCTTCATGATTTATTTAACAGCAATTAAATTTATTGGCAAAGGTAAAGAAAAGAGTATCATTTTCCCCAAAATTTCAGAGTGTTATTCAAAAATCATTTTTAAAATATATGTTGTATAAATCAAATCCTTATCGACAAAGAGCTCTTGATAGATTCAGTCTTGTTAAGTATGCATTTGGATAATTAGTTAACTTAGCTCATATGTGTTTATTCATTCCATAGATAAATATATTGAGTATCTAGTTTGTGCAAGATTATGTGTGTGGTAGAGAAATATAGAGCTAGAGATATGTCCCTTATGATTGAATTATAGAGTCAGAATGTTGGTGAAGTCAGAATGTTGTTCAGTTTAACATGAGTAGTTGGAATCATAGGAGCTTTAGTACAGCATTGAAGACTTGGGGGGAAGCTTAATCTGTAATCTATTCTATGGTCAATATGCTGTCTAGAATATAAGATTAGAAAAAAATTGGTTGTCTTTTCAGTTTTGCCGCTGATATTTTTCTTTCCTTTCCTTCATCTCTTCCATAACAGTTTGTATCCATAGGTCTTTATCAGAGGGAATTAGTTACCACAAATGTTGTTACAGTCACTACTTTTGATTGTCTTCTATAATGCCATTTTGATATGATATTGAAGTAGTACTAGATTAACAGAGGACTAGAGTTGATATTCAAACATTGTCAGTAATTTTGTTTGTAACTTTAAGGGTGTCCTTTAATCTCTCTATGATCCAGTTTTCCCTCTGTGTATAGTGATCAGGATAATTATAATAGCCAATCCAACATGCCCATCTGACAGATATAAAGATAACCTTATTCCAAAATAATGTAGTATTTTTTTCTATGGGGAAAATAATTCAGGGCATTTTGTTTTCCTTTTATATCTTAATGAACAAGGAATTAAACAAAAACTTAAAAAGTTCAATGATCCATGCCTCACGGACTTTGTACTCTCCCCCATTATTTTCCCCCCACTACATACCCGCAAATAGAAATCAGGGCAATTATGTCATGTCATAATTGAAGACTTATAGTCTTCAAGGCCTTACTTTGAGAAAGTTAATTTAGTTGAATGGTTTTGTGTAAGTTAGTTATACATATGAGTAATACTTGGCCATCATTGATGTTTTATAAATAGAAAGACCACTGGTAAAAATCCTAAAATGTTTGTGATTCAAGTCTCAAAAATGATTTATTCTGAGTCATTTGCAAACTTCTCCTTGGTCCGTAATAGATACATCACAATGAATCATTCTAAACCTCTCACCTCTATTGTTGCTCTATCAAACATTCCTTAGCCATAATAATGGATATGAGTGTGTGTGTGTGTATGTGTAACTTACAGTATGAAGGTTTCACCTTGATTGTATGAAATATTGTCTCATGTAACAATGTTTTAGTTGTCTATAGTAGAATAGTAGAAGCTATAAATGTGAACCATGTGTATAATTTTGAATTTTCTAGTAGCCATATTAGAAAAAATAAAAACAAATAGGTGGAATTAATATATTTTAATCTAATATGTCCAAAATATCATTTCAACATGTGATCAGCATAAGAAATTATTAATAAGATATATTTTGCATGTTTTGCATTAAATCTTTGAAATTTGATTTATATTTTGTACTTAAAGCACATCTCCATTTGGATTGCATGGCCACTTGTGTCAGGCAGCTACTGTATTTGACCGTCCAGGCCTACTACAAAAATGTCTATATAATCAGTACCTCAGATCTCAGAACCTTTCCTTGAAGTTCTACACTACCATATCTAGGCATTCTATGTCAGTTGTCCAACCTTCCCATCCCTTTTCACAGTCTTACTCTGGTCCTCACTTCCATCTTCACACCATTTTATCCTCTGAGATTTCCCTCCTTTTATGCCACATATTCCTCTTTCCTCCTCTCTATCAGATTCCCTTGCATGTTTTGCTGAGATCCTTAGGATAAAAAGTGCTCTTAACAGTTTGACCTCCTACCTCCACATACACACAAAAAAATGTTACCAGTAGAAATGTAAACTGCTCCTGATAATATCCATACCTTGGGGGAAATGAAAAGTTCTTTCTCCTGTTAGGAAAAGTTAGGAATCCCTGGTGATAAAAATAGTTTGTGTTATAGGAAAAACTTGCCAGAGGTATATCAGCCTTTGGAGCCAGAGGGCTCAGTATTTACCTCCGAAATGAAATGTAGGTGTACAAATTTAATATTGTTGACCAAGTTAGAGTAAGGAACCATGATGATTTTCTTGCCAGATTTTGTTTTCCTTCCTCTTGGTAATCCGTTCTTAGGATTTGTATTTCCAAAGTATTTTATAGTCTGCTTTGTACCTTTCAGATTGTACTATTACAAATGCTCAAATATGCAGTGCTTTTTTTGGTTTGGTTTCTGCAAAATAACTCAAAAAGTCAATGCCAGCAGTCAAAAAAATAAAATGAAGACAACAGTTGCATTTATAGTAGAATCAAAAAGAATAAAATACTTAGAAATAAATTTAACAAAAGAAGTATAACACTTATACTAGAAAAGCTAGAAAACATTATTGAAAAAAATTTAAGAGTGCCTAAATTAACAGAAAGTCATCCATGTTCATCTCTTCCTATTGTTAAGATACTTCCCCAATTGGATAATATGTTCAGTGCAGTCCTAGCTACCCATTTTTTGCAGAAATTAATAACCTGATCCTCAAATTCCTATGGAAATACAAGAGGCCCCAAGTATCCAACATGGTTTTAAAAAGGAACAAAGTTGTAATACTTCAATTTTTTTATTTCAAAAGTTGATATAAAGCTATGATAATAAAGATAGGGTGGCACTGGCATAAGGATTGATGAGTGACTGCAGACTCCTCTTGTCTGTGGAACTCTGAATTCTGAAATGTTAACACTAGCTGCCCCAGACTTTAAGAATTTGTTGAAAGTTTAGCTGATACCTTTTTGTCCACTTTTATGATGGTCATTTCTTTCCATGGTCTGCCAAAGGGAAAACTATTTGTGTTTTCTGTTTCACCTTGGAAGATCTTGTCATTCTATGGGTTTCAGTTCCCTTGGCTGTCTGGCAAACAGCTGTCTTGTGAACTCAAGAAAAAAAATAATTTTATAGAACAGCTGGTCTTTTTTTCTTATTACAGTGGAAGGAACTGTCTTTTCCTGCTTCTACCTCTTAAGTAGAGTGGAACTAACATTAGGTGCTTAGGATGTGGTAGAGTTGGCACTTTAAAACTTGTTTAAAATAGATTCATTTTTTTGAATGCTAAGCAGTATGGTAAGTATTTACTACATCATCTCATTTAGTGCATATACTTGTCTATGAAGTGTAGATAATATTGTTATTCTCATTTTTTAGATGTAAAAATGAGGCTAAGCAGAGAAAAGGAATTGGAGTTACAGAAATAAATACTTTTATTGGTATTGTCTAATTCATATTTTTATTCCTTCCTCCCTAATAAAATAAATCTATTTTTCACTTCTCCAAGATGAGAAGATGTATCCTTAGCATTGTAAGTTCTCATTTTCCTTATTTGATTAGAAAAGAGGTACAGCCTAAAAGAGGGAAAACTTGAAGGGAGCTAGTTAGAATTTTGATTAACAAAGAGCAGATACCCTAGGTCTTATAACAAGTGAGTGAGCAGAGATTGTCATGATCTTACTGCCACTTCCTCCTTTTCCCTTCCCCTTCTGTTTTAGTGTGAAATAATTAATAGCCTTCAGGATTGGTGTGTGTGTGTGTATGTGTGTGTGCGTGTGTGTGTGTGTAACAGAGAGTTTTAATAGGATAGTAGAATTTTAGATACTTTGCATTATCATTACTTCCTTCACTAGCCCACTGTTGTGAGAAATCCTTTAGGTAACTCTTAAGCTAGAAATTTTTAGTATAATTACTTATATTAATTACATTCGTCTTAACAAATTCCTTTCTTTGTGGTACTGGGAACTAAACCGAGGGCCTTGTATGCTAGATAAACACTATCACTGATCTACATCCCCAGCCCCTCGATGAGTTTGCTCACATACTGGTTGATAGGTACAAGTTTCATGCATTGTTCATCTGCTGGAATTTCAACACCTTTTCAGCTATCCCATGTTTGTAACATAAACTGGATGATAAACATCTGGTCATTATTGTATTATGAATAACATTAATACAGAGACAGTGTGAAAGGTTAAAGAATGGGAACTTGGAGACAGGGAATCAGGATTGTTTATATATAGGAGGATATTTTATAATACCTTGATTTGATGTCAGCAGTAACTTATATGCTTCTTCCTCCTAGTTATCAGGGAATATGAAGAACAGGAAAAGCATCCAGGAACCTAGATTTGATTATTACAACCATGAAGTTCCTGATATTGATCTCAGTGAATGTGAGTTTCCACATGTCATTGAAATTTATGACTTCCCCCAAGAATTTCGTACAGAAGACCTTCTACGGGTTTTCTGCAGTTACCAGTAAGTATTTGCTAGTGGTTACAGATATTAGGGAAAGTGGGATGAAGTCTTTTTAATGTGTCTTCTGAAAAATCATCTTGTTTTCATATTCCCTTTTGTTTATTTTAGCATCAGATTTTTTAATTTTATTATCCATGTCCATTAGAAATCTTTTATTTCCAACTACTACTCTTCTAAGTTCTTTAAAAATGCCAGGTAGCCTTTCTAAACTATATTTTATCATTTTAGAAGATCATCATCATCATTGACTTCTGAAACTGTCTTCATGGTACATATATCCCATTTATATTTATTGTAATTTTGATATATTTGGATTTATGTCCAAGTGTATATCTTATATTTACTTACCATTTTTTTCAATGTGTTTACTTATCCTTTTTCTTTTTAGCCTTCTTTTGGATTGAATAGGTATTTTTTATACCCCCTACCCCCTTTTTTTAATGATAATCAGTTTCTATTCTTTGGTTACTTTAGATTATAAAATACATGTGTAATTTATCAGTGGCTACAGCAAATTTTCCGCCCTCCATCTAAACACTATAAGAACTTTTGATTCGATTTCCCACTTCTCCCTTCCTCAACTTATTATGACTGTTTAATTCCTTTTTGTTTTTTCTCTAAGTTCCATTTGACATTGTTTTTATTTTATATATAAGCATTTAGAATTATCTCCTTACGGTATCATTTATATCTTCCATCCGAAATTATTAACTTCATTCTTGAAAGATATTTTGGCTGGATATAGAATTCTACATTGTCAATTTATTTTTCTCTCAGAAATTTGAAGATGTTCTACTGTCTTCTGACTTCCTCTTAATGATAAGTCAGCTGACATTTTGACAACTGTCACTTCTGCTTGTGATTTTTCTTTTCCCTTTGTATGCTCTTAAAAGTGAGGCGCTAAGCAACTCAGTGAGACCCTGTCTCTAGATTTAAAAAAAATACAGAATAGGGCTGGATTCAGTGGTTGAGTGCCCCTAAGTTCAATCCCTGGTTCCCACCGCCCCTACCCTGCCAAAAAAAGAGTTTCTCTTTGTTTTTGTTATCCTTCATCTTCACTGTAATGTAGGTTTCTTTTTATTTATCCTGAGTTTATATTATTTGGACTTATTTAATCATTGTTTTTCATTTATTTTGGAGAACTTTGGAGTAGAAATCATCTCTTCAAATATTACCTTTACTCCAGTCTTTCTTTTACTTCCTCTAACATGCTGCCAATTACATATATATTAGACCTTCTCATTTAATCCTTATGTTCCTTCTTTCATATGCTCTTTGTTGCATTCTGAATAATTCCTTTAGTTTTAGTTTACAGTTCACTCATTTTTTTTTCAGTTATGCTTTAATTGCTATTTAGTACATCCATTATGTTTTAAAATTTCATTTATTATTTTTTCCAGTTCTTAAAATTTTTCATTTTTTTAAATCTACATGGCATTTTTAAAATTTACTTTTTTGATTGATTGATTGCAGTTCTGGGGGGTTGAACCTAGAGCCTCACAAACTGAGCTACATCCCCATACCTTTTTATTTTTTTTGTTTTGAGATCAGAATTTTACCTAGACTGGCCTCTTCCTGCTTCAGCATTCTGAGTTGCTGGGATTACAGACATACATTATCATACCGGTTGCATCTTCATTTTTTCATAGTTTGTTTTCTCCAAATACTTCCAATTTTTTTTCATTTTAAGTACATTAAACATAATATATTAAGTACGTAAATGTTTGTTTCTGAAGTGTTTTTTAACCTGAAGTTTGACATGTAGTTTTACTTTACCTGAAGTCCTTTTAGTTCAATTTTTGTTATCTTTCTTTTGGTGGTACTGGGGATTGAACCTGGATCTTGCTTATGCTAGGCAAGTTCTCTACCACTGAACTATACCCACAGCTCCTGTTTTAGTATCTTTTGTTTCTGCAAATCTTTGCTCACAATGACTTTCTTTTCTTTTCTTTTTTTTTTTTGCAGGGAGGCATGTGTCTTAGGTATTTTTTACTGTATGCTAATAATTCTTAGAATTTTATTTATGGGAATTGAGGCATACAATGAAAGAAGAGGATTTCTCCTGAGAAGGATGTGTTTTTTCCTGCCAAGTGCCAAGGACACTTGGAGACCTCTAAATTAAATTATTGATTTGAGGTTTTTCTGGCCACTTAGAAATAGTCAAATGGAGAATGTTTTTTAAAAATTGTTATATGTCACAATTATTTTAATTTAATACATAAATTCCATTTATGGAATTCACTCACTTGCCAGTCTTTTGATGTGGTTCCAACAACCCCCCACCCCGCCAGCCTTTTAAGTCATTGATGTGTTGATAAAAGAGTTCTTTCCTTTAAGTCACTCTCATAATGCCTTATCTGCAATTTATAATTTGATTTCTTTAAAGTGAAGCAAGAACTTTATATCTTCATAGTTACCTAAATGCGTATTCCTTATAGACTAAACTTTCTTCTATAACTCTTTTTACCCAAACATAATTGATAATAGTTTTTTTTCCTTAGTGACTTTACCTTTCTTTAGTCTTCAAAAGCATTCAACAGTTTTTATAGATATAACTATTCTTAACATTCATATTATATAGATTTATTATAATTTAAATTATGTGATGAAAATATTAAGTCTAGCTGAGAACATTTTTGCTAACTCTTGATATGCATATAGTTGATATATTTATAGGAGAAGATAGCTGGGAGAGATAATGTATACTTGTAATCCCAGCTACTCAGGAGTCTGAGGCAGGAGAATTGCAAGTTTGGGGCTAGCCTGGGCATCTTCGATTGTCTCAAAAAAGATAAAATACAGTAAATAGGGTTGGGGATGTAGCTCAGAGGTAGAGTGCTTGCCTACCACATGAAAGACTGGGATTCAATCCTAGTACTATAAAAGTGGGGCTGGGGGGACATGAGGGAGAAGATAAAGGAGTCAGAAGTATACCTCTGTACATCTAGCTTACAAGAAAAAATTATGCTGTAGGAATAAAGAGGTAATCCAGGAAAAAAGTTATTGTGATAAAGATGGTCAGGGTCTTGAGAAAAGTCAATATCAAGAAGTAAACACTTTAATATTTCAATACTCATATTAAATATGTGTCAAGACTGTTGTCTGATGTTATAAATTTAAAATTCAATTTATTTACATCTAGAATTCATAAGATTATGTATTAGGGTAAAGTACCTAAGACTTTCTTAAAGGACTAGATAGTAAATATTTTAGGTGATGCTATATTGTTTCTTTACAAGCAGCCATACACAATATGTAAACAAGTGAATGTAGCTGTAAAATATAAAATAAAACTTTACTTTATATTTATTTATTTATAAAAACAAACATTTGGTTTTTACATAACATTATAGAATGCACAAAACCAGCAAGCAGCTACATGCTTGTTTAATCAGTTAAACTTGGCTGGGGGCGATCTCTGGTTCTGTAACTGAAAGAAAGAAGGGATAAATGGATCCTGCGGGACAGTTACTCTCTGGCATAAACCTGACTCTAAATGGGTAGTATAGGTCAGTCAATTTAATTGATTGCAATCATGTTAAGACCCAGTATCAGAAGTCAATGAAAGTCCAAATTAGAACTACCTTAGATTGTCATTAATAGTAACAGTTTGTAAAACCAAGGATCATTTTGTTGATGTCTGGAATTTCCTCAAAAATAATTAATTCTTGTGAATTGAATTCTTTCCTTTGTTTTGTTTCTTCCTAATCTTACCTATAAAACCATTTTTTCTGTCAAATCCAAAATTATTCCCCCAAAAGAGAAGAATTTTAAAGATTATGAAATCTCAAAGTCTGAAAGGCCCTTCGAAATTCATCTGTTTTGTAAACTATCTTATAATATAGATTTACTATTGAACTTTTTCAATTTTCAACCCTTGTGGTCATTTTATGCCATGGTTAATCTTACCTTTATTCAGGAAATTCTCTGACTAAACTTCAAAGCATTCTTTATTCATTTTCCCTTAAAGGAATTTTTTTGACTCATTAAAGAAGGAAAATGTTTAAGCAATTTTTTTTATATTTTCATAAAATTTTTTTAAAGGGGGTCATGGTGCAAATGCCTCAGTCAGATACCAGAGCCAACTTCATATTTTCATTACTATCTTCATCAGTGTTAATAATCTTTCTGATGATCATTGCTATTAATAATAATAATGTACATCATTCATTTATAAGATGCCCATTGTGTGCTAAACGCCACATTCTTGGTTTTGTCAGAGATGATCTCATTTCCGTTTTCACAACTCAGTAACAAAGATACTGCATTTAGATTTACAGATGAGCAGACCTAGGCTCGAGAGATGGTTCATGGTCTCAAGGTGGAAACATTGAATCTATTTATGCTTGACCCTCAAAACCCATATTCTTTCCAATGAACCTTTATTGATTCTACAGTTTCTAGATGAAAAAAATATGAAGTGTATGTCATCATTTTGATAGACTTTGTGTTCACTATGTAGGTCTGTTCCAAAATAAAAGTACTTTTCTAGTATGTAAATGTTCATTCTTTTGATTGTAACCTGGTTTGATATTTCTTACCATGATTTCTTTTTTCTCCATTTTTCTGATGTTGCCACCATCTTTTCTATATTCTTTCTTACCTCCCTTCTACAAGTAAAAAGAGAATTTATAAGCTATATGATTATAGCTGTCTTTTTGCCCATTACTTCCTTATTTTAGAATTTTAATGACATCTTGTATAATATCCTCCTGCCTACCACTTGTGGCAGAGTTTATATTTGCATTAAATCTAGGTGACCTTCTGACTACTTCTTCCTCATCTTGTATTATTCTACCTTTCCTGCTTGCTCTTTACATCTTTTCTCATTCTCTCCCCATAAGAACAGCTCCTATAAATAGGGCATTAAATACTTTAACTCCCCAAGAGACTTGTGAGGATTAATTAGTTGATGTCTATAAAATGGCTGGGGATGTAAAATACTCCGAGATAATTCTTTATGATGGTATTATTGCTTTTAAAATTCAATGGCTTCTTCTGTCCTCCAAACTATTTTTTGTCATTATCTCCATTCCACCTGTGTTTTCATTGAGTGTTTCTTTCTCATGAAATGTTTTATACAACTCTATTTGAAAGATGTTTCACAAAAGGAAAATTTATTTTAAGAAATAAATTTTTTTTTGTTGTTGTTACAGAAAGAAAGGATTTGATATTAAATGGGTGGATGATACACATGCCCTAGGAGTATTCTCCAGTCCAATTACAGGTATTCATACCCAATCCATTTCAGTGTTCCTTTTTAAAAAACTTTATATATGACAGCAGAATGGCATTACAATTCTTATTACACATATAGAGCACAATTTTTCATATATCTGGCTGTATACAAAATATATTCATACCAATTTGTGTCTTCATACATGTACTTTGGATAATAATGATCATCACGTTCCACCATCATTGCTAACCCCATGCCTTCTCCCTTCCCCTCCCACCCCTCTGCCCTATCTAGAGTTCGTCTGTTCCTCCCATTCTCCCTCGATACCCCACTATGAATCAGCCTCCTTATATCAAAGAATACATTAGCATTTGGTTATTTGGGATTGGCTAACTTCACTTAGCATTATCTTCTCTAACTCCACCCATTTACCTGCAAATGCCATGATTTTATTCTCTTTTATTGCTAAGTAATATTCCATTATGTATATATGCCACATTTTTTTAAATCCATCTATTGAGGGGCATCTAGGTTGGTTCCACAGTTTAGCTATTGTGAATTGTGCTGCTGTAAACATTGATGTGGTTGTGTCTCTGTAGTATGCTGTTTTTAAGTCCTTTGGGTGTAGACCGAGAAGAGGGATAGCTGGGTCAAATGGTGGTTCCATTCCCAATTTTCCAAGAAATCTCCATACTGCTTTCCATATTGGCTGTACCAATTTGCAGTCCCACCAACAGTGTATGAGTATACCTTTTCCCCCACATCCTCACCAACACTGATTGTTGTTTGTCAATAGCTGCCATTCTGACAGGAGAGAGATGAAATCTTAGAGTGGTTTTGATTTGCATTTCTCTAATTGCTAGAGATATTGAACATTTTTTCATATGTTTATTCTTTGATTGCACATTATCATCTGAGAAGTGTCTGTTAGGTCCTTGGCCCATTTATTGATTGGATTATTTGTGTTTTTTGATGTCAGTGTTCCTTTCTTATTGTCCATTTTCATCTGCTACTTTTTTTTATTTCTCTATTCCAACCAGTTGGTATTTTACTCAGCCAGCTCCTATAGATAACAGAATTGATAAAGATTTTTAAGGCATACCTGTTTTCCCCCTATCTCTTTTCACCTTATTCAGTGGTATTTGGAGAGATGGTCAACTCCTTCCAGGGTTACTTGCACATAGTGCATGAACAGATTACAGATTGAGATTTAAGAAGACAGTGGCACTGAATCTTATAGTATTTATTTATTTTTCTCAGACAAATGAATTTGAAGTATTCCTTTAACTTATCCAGTGAGAAACTTTAATACCTACTTTTTGGATATGTGATTGGACCTTTGCACATGTGTCATGGAGTTCATGATAGGTTTGATGCAGAAACATTCAGAGAAGTTAGAGATGTTGGAAGGCTGGTTCATGTCTGGACCACCTAGATCATGAGCTCAAAAACTTATTTTATAAAATAAGTAATAATAGTAAACTAAATTATAGGCTTTGTGAGGCAGAAAGTTTTTGTCACTACTTAACTCTGCTGTTGTAGCAAGAAAAAGCAGCAATAAACAATATGCAAACAGATGGGCATGCCTCTGTTTCATAAAATTTTATTTACAAAAACAGGTGGGTTGCCTGGATTTGGTCATAGAGTTTATGTAAAGTTAATTCTTTACAGATTGTGTATATCTTATATGTATTTCTTGCTTTGAAGAAAAAAAGTAACATCTATGAAATACATTCTAAGAACTAGTCCTAAATTTCCTTCTGTATCACTTCACTTCACATCTTCTTCTTCTTTATATTTATTCCTCCTTACAGCTCGTGATGCTCTGGGTATTAAACATACGATGGTGAAGATCAGGCCCTTGTCACAGGCCACAAGAGCAGCCAAAGCCAAAGCTAGAGCTTATGCTGGTGAGCTTTTAATTCTGAATGCTTTCCTTGGTCATGGTGATGTTATTCTTTCCAACCGAGTATGCCATTCAGAGTTCTAAAGACATCACTTCTATTTTTCATGTTAAAGAAAGTATAATTAAGGACAAAAGAAAACCACTATGTTGGAAATATGCCATCTGAATGGTAACTTGGAGAATGGGAGATACTTCCTGAAAGCAATGCAGCAACCAGTTTCTGATGTCAACCTTAACTAGTTTACATCTGTTTTAGCTGTTTGATAGTCACTGTAAGAAATTATGTTAATGCAGATAGTGAAACCAAGATTGTGCTTTGCCATGTTAATTTCCTCTGTCATCTGCTTGATGCTAGTATATTTTGTGTGTTAATAACTGAGTTAAGTCACTTGGTGCTGCAGTTCTTTTTTTTCCTTACTCCCTCCGACTTCCTCCCTTTCTTCCATTTAGAGTTCCTCCAGCCAGCAAAGGAGCGACCTGAGACTTCAGCAGCCCTAGCCAGAAGGTTAGTTATCAGTGCTCTTGGGGTCCGAAGTAAACAGAGCAAAACAGAACGGGAAGCAGAGCTAAAGAAACTGCAAGCAGCCCGAGGTGAGCTAAGGCAATAGTGTTCTTCTCTAGTCCCCTTACAGTTCACTGTAAGGCATGTGTGGGGTTTTGTTTGTTTTGTCATTTCCATTTTCTAGAAGCCTCTCACATGTAGAGAAATTGTTTTCAAGCCTTATATTCAGGAGGAAGATTTTTAGGATCAAGATTTGTTTCCTATTCCATACACCAAGGCACCCTAATCCATGTTCCTACTGTTGTTTTCCAAGAGATTGTTTAACTCATTCTTGGCTTTTTCCTACAGTTTTGCTCCAAACTCAGAAAACTTTTCCTCTGAAGACATTTCAGTTACTCAGACAGAAAAACGTGTTTGCCATGGTTTCATTGGACTATAATTGCCATGAAATCACCATGCTGTTATCACATGGCTTCAGTCTTTGGTAAAAGACAAATTAAGGAAAAATCAGCAATCGACATTGGTAGTAATATGTGTAAGAGGAAGTTTTGTCTTTTTAAGATCATCCTGAGTGGTTCAATTAGAAGACATCTAGATTCACCTGTCTTCTAATGATTTTCTGGTACCTAAGATTTCTCAGAAAATATTTTCCCTGATCCATAAGTAGGATTTTTCTTATAGTTTGGAGTTGAGGTTAAAATGCATCTCCTCTTTATAGGCTTTTGAATTGTATGTAAAGACTTAGTCCTTGGGCTTGGCACTTAAGTACTTTTTATCAACCTTCAGGCCTTAGACACTCTCATTGCCTTAGCTCCAGATCTGTGGAATCTGTGGAGGCAATTTATTCTGAAAATTCCACTCACTGAAAAGTAACTTCATTTTTCCATTAAATGAATTGAAGTTTCAGACTGCTTGTTTATTGCCAGTCTTAACAAGGCCATTAATACTTCCCGTCCACTCTGCTTTGGTGATAGCAGGCATCCGCAGACTCTCAGCTGCACTGGCCAGATAACCAGTGACAGAGTGTGTCATGGCAGGTGCTAGAGTTTCAGAGTTGAACTGAAATAATTTTTGAAACCTTAATGATTATAATGAGGCAGTTTTAATTTTGACCCCCAATACATTGTTCACTCCAAGGCTTCTTACAAACTATTGAAACAGGAGAAGATTCCCCCTAGTTTTTATATATGACAATAATAGAACTAGATTAAAGAAGAGTGTGCAGTGTCCTAAACCCTGTATTAATTGGTTATCTCTGAGGAAAATGACTTCTGCATGATAACTACATCTATCTCAGAAGATGAGTATAGGGTAACAACAGTGGTATCTGAAGAAGGAGATAGTAATCCTTTAGCAATGTACCATGCTTCTGTCACTGTATTATTACCTGTATCTCTACAAATATTGCAGCATTTGTTTCACATAGATATCATTGTGAGTATTTCCCTTTAGTTCTCTATAGGCACATCAGCATGCAACTCCATTGGAAGCATTTGTTTTTAAATGCCTTGCTTTACAAAGGACATTTCAGTGATGATTTTAAAATGAGACTGTTGGTTAAATACCCTGTTGCTTTTCTAAAGAAGGTCTTTGTTTGTGATAGGTTCCTCCTATCTATTGATAACAGGGGCTTTATGGATTTAGAGGACTCTTCCTTTATTTTGCTTCAGAGCTCTCCTATTCTTTATGTCTGAGAACATGCATATGGAAAATTTCCTGGTGAGTCTCTCTTTGGCATCTTTCTGTATTGAGCCAATACTCATGTACTTGTCTACATGGCTTCTTACTTAATTTGTTATTTTTCCCTGTGAAAATTAAAAATAAACCTTGATTAGGTATTAAGCAGAACCTATATTCTTGTTCTCAGTGGAATCAGTTCAACACAGTGGATAACATTATCCTGAAATCAGATTGCTTGGGTCCATGCTTTAACTCTGACATTTATTAACTGTGACCTAAGGCAAAATACTCTCTGGAGGCCTCTGTTTCCTCTTCCATAAAGTGGAAATCAGATGAGATAATCCATGAAAAGTACTTAGTCATCTTTGAAAACTATAGAAATTCTCACTGCTATATCAGTAGGTCTAATAAGTATGTGATAAATATTAGCTGCTGCTGTTTTTATTAATAATAGTAGCATTGTCATTATATAGTGAATCCAGGATAGATTTCAGTACATGATTTTTTTTGTCATTACTCTTCTTATTTTAAAATTTCTGTAATGCTCTATCACCTCCATTTGGCATTCACTGAGCACCTACCCTGTGCCAAGCATCATCCTTAGAATTAGAAGGCATAGTTTGATTCCTCTTCTCTTTAAGACTTAAAAATCTAGTGGAGACATGTGTCTTGAGTAAGGAAGAAAATATGGACTACTTTCAGATATTTGAAGCAATTGTTTCTCCTCTCATTGCTTTCTTCTTTTTTCTCTTCTTCTACCCTGTTGGGGTTGGACTTCTCAGAGCCTTGCATATACTAGACAAGCATTCTACCATTGAATTATACCTCCAGTTTTCCTATCGTTTCAAAATTAAAAGGGGTGTGTGTGTGTGTTTTGTTTTGTTTTTTTAATGAAAAGGGACTGGAAATTCAAGACAGTCGGTATAACTTGTTGTGGTGGTATTGTTTCATGATAATTTTGTGATAAGTGATGTTATCTTCAGTTTAGAACTGGCTTTGAGAAGGCAAGTAACTGCCTAAGTTCAACACCTGGTAAAATGAGAGACTTTAATATAGGTCTTGTTAATTAAAACCCACTGTACCTATAATCTCTTTTGAAGAACTTTTAGGACAATTGACATTTTTTTTCTCCCAGGGGGGAAAAAAATTACACACAAAAACATACATAATTCTCTGGAGACTTAAAACATTCATTTGTATCTAAACATTATATATAAATGTTTTTAGTCTCCAGAGAATTTTATATAACCAGTCTTCTTTTTAGTTATCTCTAGTAGTGGTTAGCAGTTTTGCTGTTAGAAAAATCTTCCTTTGGTCTGACTTAAAGACTGCATGGTAGTTTAGTTTAAACCAGTTTCCTCTACTTTTTTCCTTGGTAGAAATATAGAACATCTGCACAACATTGTGTTTGAACAACCTTTCACTATAAAGACTAAGGGCAGCTCATTTAAGAATGAGGAAATCTGGATTCTAATAAAGATTTTTTCCTATTAACTAGCTGTGTGGCCATAGGCAACTCAGTTATGCCTCTCTTTGCCCCACTTTCCAATAAAGTGAAAGTAATGCTTTCCCTATCTTACCAGGGGGAATTTTTTAAGTCAACATAAGTTAAAATATGTAAAAATGGGGTTAGGATTGTACCTCAGTGGCAGAGTGCTTGCCTTGCACATGTGAGGCACTGAGTTGGATCCTCAGCACCACGTGAAAATAAATAAACAAAATAAAGATATTGTGTCCATATATAACTAAAAAAAATTTTTTTAACTATGTAAAAATGTTTAGCAAGGTACTTTACAAATTTAAGATACTGTTCTTTCAAATGACTAATGAGAATTTAATATTCTAAATAACAGCCAAGTAATGACAATTAGTATTATGTACTACTGCTCCTCATCCACTACACATGACAATATTGCTGATCGGTCATTATATTGTTTCTTGGTGAGTATTGAAATGACCACTTCCAGTTGTTCAGAATTAGCATGGTTGTAGGTACTTTCATTAATACTATGTAATACTCTTCCAGCTTTATATCTCCTACATGGAAGAGTTCTGTTGCCTAGGATATAAAAAGATAATTCAACGTATTCACTGACTGAATAATGACATTGGTTACCTCAGTTTTTCTTCATAAATCTTGTGGTTTTACTCTGAACTCGTAAGTCCTCTATATTTTTCTTTTCTAAAATCCGGAGTTAAACACTGCATATGAAACCCTCCTAATGAATGAGTTTGAAATTTGTCATTTTGAGTTTTAAATGCTTTTCCTGCTAGTATTTTCCACCCTACATGGATTTTTCTTACCCTTTTAATGAGAAAGCTATGCCTTGAAGAACAGATTCATAAATACAAGCTACTTCTGAAAGAATTGAAGAAAAGGGAAATACCCAAATCATTTAAAGTACACCACATTGTGCATATTAGGAGGAAGAGAGCTTTAGTAGTACATAGTCTCTGAACATGAGAAAAGTATCTTTTTACTTTGGCAGAGTGCATAACAAATCAGAGCTACCCTAAGAGTGGAAAATGAAAGGTATAGATCATCCTTGAGTGTTTTATGTTTGACTTAATCATGTGTTTTAAACAACTGATTCATACTGAACGATAAAAAAAACACATTTTAAAATAAGATGGAACTCAGGAATATATGTAAAATTTTTTCATGTTCGCTTATCCAAACACTTGATACCTACCTGAAATTAAAGATAGATATCATTGCCTTTCAAAACAAGCTGCCCTCTCATTTTTCAAAGCCTGCTATAATTTTACTTTATAATTTTCTTTTTTTTTTTTAAATTTTTTATTGTTGGCTGTTCAAAACATTATTATTTTTTTTTTAATTTTTTATTGTTGGCTGTTCAAAACATTATATAATTTTCATTTTACTCTTAGGGGAGATGATTAATTAGTACTAAAAGACCATATTTTGGTTCACAAAACTAAAAGGCTAAACAGTTGATCACCTAGTTTGATTAATTAAATCATTAAGGACCTTAAAACCATCTTTCTATTAAGTCAACTGTATAAAACAAATTTAGGCACAGTTGCTACTTTCTGAAAACCTTTGTAGGCATTCCATTATTCTCCCTTCAAGGACAGTGCTGTGATGTTGACTCCTAACTAGACCTTCAGGTACTTTTCTTGGTGTCTTTTTTTTCTCTTGTCTGAAGTTTGTTTTGTTTCTAACTGTATTTTTTAATGTGATTTTTTTTTTTCCTGAGAGGCAGTGTTTTCCAGTTTTTTGGTGTCAGTTGCTGTTTAATAAACTTACTTTCTAAATTCTGTCGAGAATCCAATGCCTCCTTATGAGATCTGAATGATAATTTCTAGTATACTGATGATCATATAAATACTTGGTAAATTTAAAATCTAAAATCTTGCTAAAGTTAAAAGGTTACTTAGAAGAGCCAGGTGTGGTGGCAGATACCTGTAATCCCAGCAAAATTTGGGAGACTGATGCAGGAGGATCACATGTGAGGCCAGCCTCAGCAATATAATGAGGCCCTAAACAGCTTAGTGAGACCCTGTCTCAAAATAAAAAGGGCTGTGGGCATGGTTTAGTAGTTAAGCACCCCTGGGTTTAATTCCCAGTAGCCCCAAAATGGGTTACTTTGATTACTTCTCCTTGATGTACCAAGTTTATCACTCCATCCAAGAAGGCAATCAAATTATTATACAAAGCATATTGATTTTTACTTTGTAGGTGGCTGCAAATGAATTTTGTGATAATTTATCTTAGGTTTAGAAGTAATTTTTGAAAGTCTTTACAATCCTTTTCTTTATTTAAAAAAAAAAAAATGACACCAAACTGGCCCTTTTCAATCTTCAATGCTTTCTATTCCCTCAGTGAGAAGCAGTTAACTGACCACTCATGCTTTCAGTCAATTCATTTAATACAGTAATTTGTCAGTTCATTATACTACAGAATAAAAGTGTTCAGGGCCACGTTTATCTGAATGTTTTAGGTTTATCATTTCCTGATTATCTTCTATTCTCCCTTAGTTACTTGCCCTTATGGTTTCTGTTGGGCTTTGTTTACTTCTTTTAATGATTAGAGGTAAAGTTAATCACTTTGTTTCATGCAGTCTGTCAGCTGTTATCTGCTTTCTTTTCTCTTTAATGAAGGGACAATATGTTTATCTTTCTGTCAGTATATTTTTTCATATATTTCCCCCTTTCTTTTTAGTGGAAAGTATGCTGGTTAAAATAAGGACCTGGGTTCCAGTTTCAGTTCTTTCACTTATTATATAACCTTAGACAAGTCACTTAAGTTCCCCAAGTGTCTTGTTTCCTCACTTAAAAATTAAGAAATTACTTTTATTATCCAACCTGTATTTTTCTATGCTATTCATATTCTGCACTTCTAAATTTATGCCTGACATTTTCACTGTTTGCTTGTCAGTTTGTCTTCCTCTGTTGCTAGTTTTCTCATATTGTTTACCACCCAGATTTCCTCTTACATTTACATATATTTGGTAATCAGAGCTAGATTTTTATTGGAAAGCATTAGTGTGGGACCAGTTTTAGAATTCTGAACTTTCCAGATTTAGAAAGGTAATATAATCTCTAAAACATGTTTTATAACATCAAAGTAAAACATATTAACATTTCTTTTTTTTCTATTTTTTTTATTATTTCTTACATAAATGACAATAGTGGAATGCATTACAATCATAATTATCTATTTACAGCACAGTTTTTCGTATCTCTGTATATAAAGTATGTTCACACCAAATTATGCCATTATACATGAGCTCTCTTATTATTATTGCATTACAATTCTTAATACACTTTTATACCACAATTTATCATATCTCTGTTTGTATATAAGGTATGTTGACACCAAATTCACATTAACATTTCTATAGCAGTGTGTGACTCTATGTTAAGTGGAATATATAAGAACAGCCTCACCTCGTATCGTTTCAGGTTAGATTTGCTATCATTGAATTTTAATCCATACTTTTTTACAAAAGCAAAATACACAACACTTTTGTTTTCAGAACTGTTTTGCTTTTGGAATTGTGGATTATGGGCCAGTCATATTTTTCTGCTGTTCCTGGGTATCTTTTCTTTAACTCTCATATTACCTTTCCGACTTGATTTCTACCTTATTGAAAAATCTTGAGTTCTGATAATTCAGGTTTCTGGTTTCTTCACTTTTCTTTGGAATCTAGAACTAGTTTTTTAGTTTAATTTTTTTAGTTGATTTGGTCCAGGTCTGCTTTTGCCTTGAGATCTCCTCCTAACTTTCCGTGTTTATAAAAATCGAAACTACACTGCTTTCCCAAGAAATCCTGGAATCGTGAGCAAGCCAGTTATCCTTCATGCTGGCTCCTGGAGAATCTCAACTCAATTCAAATCTGTCTTATAGCCCAGGCTACTTACTGTATTAACTAACCAGCTTTTAGTTCACAGTTTGCAGAAACCTATTTTTTTGCCTCTTATAACTTTGTTGCTGTATTCAAATCATGCCACAAGATGGTGCCCAAATAGCAGGGAATTTCTTTCTCATTTCCAAGTACCAGGCGGTTTCCTGACCAACTTTTTGGCCTTAAAGTATAGTCACGTATAGTTCAGGAATTTTGTAAAAGCTTCTGCTGATTTGGAAAGGTATGTTCAAATACCAAGTTTTACACTCACCTTGATTTCTGCAATCCACTTGGTTCATGACTTACTTGCAAAGTCTTACTTTTAAGACATTATCAATCTGGAACAGTAGTCCTTGAAAAGAAGCATTTAGGCTTATCATGCATCTTATAGTGTCAAGATAAATGGCCAAAAAATTAGAACTTGTGTTGTGACACCTTACAAAGGTATCATTTATATTATGTTTTTGTTGATGCTGTTTTTGGAGATGGGATCTTGCTATGTTACCCAGACTGGTCTCCAGCTTCTGGGCTCACATAATCTTCCCATCTCAGCCTCCCAAATAATTGGGATTAACAGGCACATGCCACTGTATTTTCTCAGGTGAAAGATTTATATGAAAAACCAAACTTCTGTATTAAAAATTGAAGATGGATTACCCAGATTTATACTTTTTTTAAAAAAATAGTCCTTATTTTCCTTTCATTATATGTGGTTATTTTACCATATTGGAATTGCATATGCCCCAAGATTTTTGGCTCCTGGAAGTATTTTTTTGTTTTTTACAATTTTAATATTTATTTTTAAGTTTTCGGCAGACACAACATCTTTGTTTGTATGTGGTGCTGAGGATCGGACCCGGGCCGCACGCATGCCAGGCAAGCGCACTACCACTCGAGCCACATCCCCAGCCCCTGGCTCCTGAAGTATTGTGCAAAATAATGAAATTTGATTTGCCTCTAAAATATGTTTTCAGTAAGGTGGTAATAGGGAGATCTGAGTAAAGCCAAGTCACTGCTGTTTCCATTTGAGCAACAGAGTAGAAGGAGAATATTAAAACATTATTGATTCCTGTTGAAATGTTAATGAAGATCAGTACACTCATAGGAATGATAGAGAATTGTGTTAAAGCACTGAGCACAATTGAAAAGCAGAATTAAAGTAAATACATATAAGCAAGACAGAATCTTGATCGTGCTAGGATCTAACTTATTTCATATACTTCAAGTTGCTATTTTCCCAGATCTCCCTCTTTTGACTATATAAAAGCCTTACAGTGAGGCTAGGAGTGAAGTTCAGTGATAGAGTAAATGCTTAGCATGTGCAAGGCTTTGGGTTTGATCCCCAGCATTGCAAAAACAAAACCAAAACAATGTTGTTTTCACTTACAAAGTGTTTGATAAGTTAAAGACATTAACTTCAGCAAGGTAAAAGGTGATTGTGAAATCCCCCTGAATCATGATTAAAATTTGCCTTGTACTTTAGATTAAGTGAGAGTCACTAGTTGTATGAAGTATACTACCACATTTAACATTGCCCTTTATTTACAGAGAGAAAACGGTTGGAAGCCAAGCAACGGGAAGACATTTGGGAAGGTAGAGACCAGTCTGCAGTTTGAACATCACACAATGAAAGAGCTAATTCCATGAATCAAAAAGTGTTTTCATAGTCTTCAGATAAGAGGATCCTTCCAGAGCTGTGTACATGCAGATGTGCATGTTAAAGAAAGAGAAAAAGTGATCAAGACAAAGAGTGGATATATAGAGAGAAGATAAACTCCTGTCTTTGCTCCTAAATGCAGCTCTTTGGAAGTGCCCTACTGTAGTGTATATAAAAGGGAGCCATCTGTTGGGAAGAAACATGGAAGATGTGACTTCCAAAAGTCCTCTAAACAGGGCAAGTCATACTAGTGTGGGTCACGCTTCCTAAAATGTCTAAAGCAAATATAAAACAGAAAAGAGGATTCAAACCTGCAATGATGGGAGATTTAGGCCTTGCAAAGATGGAGCATTCTTTAGTACCTCACAAAGCTAAGAACAGCAATACCAGGGGGCAAGTAGGAAACACTTAATACAAAGAGACAGAACAGTGTCTGCTGTAGTTGACATACACAGAATCTACACTCCCAGTTCCAGAACTCTAAAATTGGTGAACTGCAGCAGATGTGGGTATTTGGACTCCAGAGTTTGTACTGAGCTCAGTGCCTGGGGCTGCTCCAGCTGCATAGCAGCCAGGGGGCTTGCCAGCTTCATTCCTCATCATAAGGCAGTCTTGGGGAGCTGTGTACCAGTTTCATTTTAAGCAGTAATGTGTTGTAAGAGAGAGATTAAAGGCCATTTTATGACACATATCACTCTGGTATTTATCAGTTTTGTCTTTCCCACAAAGAAACAGGAGAGCAGCTCTCCTCTTACCTTCATGCCTATAATGCTTTGCGTGAGTTAAATGAATCTGTTTCTTTAATTGAATCCCAGTGAGTAGAGAGCTGATCATCTGTCTGCCCCAGAATATATTTCCACAGTAACTATCCTAGATTGACGTGTGGTAGTTCCTCTCCCTTTCTTGACCTCCTAGTATAACCCTTCGCGCACGCGCGCGCGCGCACACACACACACACACACATACACACACACAACCTCTTGCCTTTTCCCATCTCTCAAATCTGACATCCTGCAGAAAACATCTGGCACACAGCATGTGCTTGGTATGATCTTATCAGCCTGTGCCAGAGGTACTTGGCAACAGCACCAGACCATCCATTACAGGGACGATCAGCCAGTTTGAAATAAACACCTCTAAGCAGTGTGAGATTTCCTAAAGGACACAGACAGGTCAGAGCCATCAACTCTGGCTTTATCTCAGTGGTTTTGGAAAGTAGTTCCACGCTAAAGAAATGGTAGTGCTAGGTGGGCCTTAAAGTGCTAAAGTGGCAAGAAGTGGTGTCCTGTGCTATTGAAGCAGAAGCTGCTTTTTTTTTTTTAAGTACCCATGACAGTAACAGATTGTTAACATTGCCTAGAACTATCTAAATCCTAGGATCACCTGAAATTTATAGTAGAGAAGTACATTCCCTCTGAATTCTTATTTGTTCCTTACAGTGAAAGTCTTTGTAGAACAAAGGTATGTTACCTTCTGAAGAGTATGTTGAGGTTTCTAGTACTTTAGTTCCTCTCAAGACCAAAGTGTGCTATTGTAGGAGTCTTCTGAGGTTTTGGTTCTGTCTGGAATTTGGTGGTTGGTATTCTGTGAACATTCCTCATCTAGTTATAAGTCATGCCAGCCACCAGTCTTCCTATGCCTTTCCCTTTCAACTCAGAGGTGTAACAGCACAGCCCTTGTATGGCTTTTTCCAGGAATTAGAACCAGCTGCACCTATCAAACGTGTGATGTGGGCAGCAAGACTGAGACCAGAGCTAGTGGCTGTCTGCCTGGCCAGCGTTTTCCGGCCTTCTTGGAAACTAGATCTGGCAAGAAGCAAAGGGTAACCTCCCTGCCTGAATCTAGTCATCAGTCACCACATGCTCCCCCACTAGCTGCACATTCTTTCACAGGCCATTAGCTGCATGCGTGAGTATAATGTTGTTACTGTTTGGGAGATGTTTGCCTGATCCAACAGGAAATCAGTCCTTCCCTTGTTTACCTAAACTGCCACGCCAAAATATAATGCTTCTTCTGCCTGATGAAGGAGATGAGGGAGTCAAGAAGAGCTGGTGGGTGAGAGGAAGGAAGAAAGCACTTCTTTGTATTCACTGAGAGTACCTCAGAACTTGTCCCACTTGACTTTCTACAAAGGGGTAGATCTGGTGATGGGGGAGGGGAGTCATAAATCTGTTTTGTCTGCTACAATGTTGACAGTCTTGGAACTTGACCTTCTTGCTCCTACCTTGTGTCCCTTAACCTTTCTGACCCCCGCCCCAACCTTTTATACCTCATTAATCTTTTAGCATTGAGCCTGGGGAAGGAAACTTTGAAGGAGACAGGTTGACATCTTGTTAGAGAAACATACTGGGGCTGTCATGAAATGTGTGCCCTTTGCATTTTTGTCCTTAGTACGGTGGGAGCTTAAGGGGTAAGAGTTAATATGCTAGGAACTACATAATCATAGCTGGTCTGGTCTTTGGAGCAGTCCACAATGAGCAACCTTTATTGGCATTAGGAGTGTCAGAATTATAAGGATCATCTCTTTTAAGTGTGTGTCAGTAGAGAAAAGATGAAGAATCATGTCCAAGAAGACCTTGGTATTTTTATACCACCTGAACAACAGCATACTGGAGCCACATCAAGCAGGGATGGTGGCCTTTCCCAGGTTTAGTCCTTCACTAAATTAAATGATTCCCCTTCTGATTTCTCCATTCTTGTGTCCCTTACCCTACCAGACCTATCTTCATGTTTCTATAGAGAGTGGCTTGACTTTTTTCTTTCCATTACAAAAATGTATTTGATGCAAAGTTGACTTGGTTGAGACCTGAAATTTAGGCCAATCCTGAGATGCATGGTGATCCTGAGAGAAAATGGATTGTCTGCCAAGTGTAAGACACATTTCTCTCCTTGGCGGAGACCCTGATAGAAACTGGGGTCCATATACTTCAGCATTCTTTCTTTGATCTTCTCTTGCTGTTCTGCAGGAAGGCCCCATCTGGCCACTTCTGTGAAACTTGTCTTTTCTCAAGTACTCAATAATTGGTGATGTTGACCCATCAGTAGATAATGGGATGCCTGAGGCCTGAGATTGCAGGAGTATTACAAACAGCCTTATATGCAATAAGATAAAGGTAACACACTAAGGAGCAGAGTGTGAGAGGCAAGTTCTAAATAAGGACAGATAAAGCAAGGGACTGCATTCACCAACTTCTCTGCAAGTTGTGATTTTGACAGTTATGTTGCATTGAGCTTCTAGCAGAGAAGTAATCCCACTTCTTGCATATTTTTGGTCCTCTGTCTTCTGCTCTTTGAGGACATTTACAAAGCACTGTTTATGCGGAGGTCTGGGCCATAGTTCACCCCTAAGAAACTGAGAGTTTCTGAATCCAGGAACCCTGTGGCAAATTTCAGGAAAGATTGGGTCTCCTTATGAAGAGGAGCTTAGATGACCAAAGCCTGGAGGTCCTATTATGTATGCCATAGGGGACAGACCCAGAACCATCCTGAGGGAGTGATACCATCCTGGTTTGGTGATATTGCCATCAAAATGTTTCCTGAGCAAGTTCTTGGTGCCCCTTGACACTGGGCCCCTTTCCTTGTAGGTCAGAGCTCTGTGAAGGGCATGGCTCCAATAAGCTGAGGTATTTGATGTGTGTGGGCAGCAGCTGGGAGTGTGCAGTGATGACTTCAGATGAGGTTGTTCCTAAGTCGCTGTTCCTGTTCCAGGGAAAGCTCTGCATTGGCTCTGTATGAATCTCCTGTGGGCAAAAGGAAAATAGCTAAGTAGCCAACCTTGCCGCAGTCTCATTCCCTGACAACCTCACACAGATCCATTCTGTCCAGCTCGTCCTTTTCTTCAGTTGTGAGCATAGACATGAAGTGTCATTTGCTAGGAACAGACCCTGGCCAGGAAATCAAGACTGTTGAGTGGAAGGGGCTGTGCTGGTTCTTCCTTTGCTGCCGACCCAGATTCATTCTGTGCCTTTTGTTCTCTCTGAGCTCCAGGGAACTGATCCCCAGAGATTGTATGACAGTGGCTACCTTATCCTTTCTGGCTGAGATGTGTTAACAATTGCAGGAAGTCAAGAGAAGAGGCATCAAACATTTCCTCTCTGTCCAGGTTTACCATGTAACTCTAGTATGGCTGTGAATGCACACACCCCTTAGCAAATATAGGCATTTCAAAACTTTAAGATGGAAGGGCTCTTTAGATCCATGGATCTAGCTTTCAGTTGGCTCTGGGATGTCTCTTCCCCCTTCAAGCCTAGAGGGGTAACAGTTCTCCTACTCATATTGCCTCAATATCCCTGTCTTCTTTAGTCCTATGCACACTTCTATAAATAGTTTTTTTGTTACGTAATTTCAGACCCATTTGGTGTGCCCTCTGTTTTCTGCAAGGACTCTAATGGTAGTCTCTAATCATTAGCAAAAAGAACCTATAAGATGCATTGTTTTTCTTTGCTTTTTCAATGTTCTGGATCCCTTGTAGTCTGATTATGGAGAATCTGCTATCTATATGCACAGTCGTGGATTCCAGTTCCTGATTCCTCTCACCTTGTTTCATTATAATGTCAGCGAAAATCTACTTAATCACCAAATCCAAAACCTTCAGCTATTCTTCCTCTTCTCATTCTATTTCTCATCTATTGCCAGTTATTTTTTAAAACCAAGTGATCTTTTTATTCCCTTGACCAAAATTTGTCAGTGATAAATAGAAGCCCACAGGATAAAGTCCATTCTCTAAGAACTACCATAACCAGAGGGAACTTTAGTAGGTTGGAAGTTCATGGCCCTGTTTAACAAAAGAGAAAATTCAGGTTGAGATTTCTCATTTCCTATAGCTATAAAGTGATGAAATTGGATTTGAAACCCAGTGAAGATGTCTGAAACCAAATCATATGCTCCTCCTATTCCCGTTTGTGTCTTTTGTCCCTCCTTTCATACCCTGCTCAAATATACATCCTCTTTGAAACCTTTTCTAGCCCCCGACTCTTTGCTTACTCTGATTAGTTCATGCCTGTTTGAGGGTACTTGCCAGTCTTGGGATCACCCATTTGTATGTCTGCACACCCTACTTGACATTAAGCTCCTGCATCTTAAAGTGTCTGACAGTGCTTAGCACTGTAGTAGGTCTTAATGTTGACTGAAGAAACAACTCTGCGCCATCCACCCTGTAAATTCTAATATGGCTGTGAATGCACACACCCCTTAGCAAATACAGGCATTTCAAAACTTTAAGATGGAAGGACTCTACAAAAAACAAGTACAGAGACCACCTCCTCCTCACCACCTCTTCCTTTGTGTGATACTACTAGTCTTGTAAATGTCCCTGTTCTCCTTGATCCTCTTACAAGTGGGTATGATTTCAGTTGGGGGAATAGTAATGCACACCAAGGGGATCTGCTTTTGCCTGTGAGGCAGTCAAGCTTAGAATGGAGGCAAGCCAGGAAGGCCAGGGGAAAAGGAACATACTGGAAAAGAAAATCCTGATGTGGTTTGAGGGTCGGAAGGATTCTGTGACAGTCCTTAAGGCAAATAGGGATGTAGAAGTAGTTATTGGATGAGGTGGATGGTCTGATCAATTCTAGAAATCCACTGTAAGAGTGTCACAGGAAATTTGTTTTTGTCCCATCCCTCCATCCCTGGCCATTTACACACCCACATAAGTCACACTTGGGAATACAATTAGAGTCCTTCCAGCTTCCCAAG